GTACTCGGTCGATATCCGATACAAAGAATCAAGCAAACATAAATTGTTTAAACCAATAATTGGGAGTAGTATTTTTTTATTAGATATTGCTATCTGCATAGATCCATGATCTGGTCTAAATTCTTATTCATTAAAAATTAGTGGATACCCATTTAGTATTTTTACCACAGCATACCTGTTAACAAAAAGAGAACATGTCAAAGTGTCATTCAAATTGTCTATTTTGTCTTTTAAATAAAAGTTCAGTGTATAAAATCTATCAATTGATACGCCATTGAGAACTGTCATTACCGTAAATTTACAAGTAGCCAATTCATTCTTTAAAGAGTATATTTTTATATAATCATTGATAACACTGTACCTTGTTTTTATATTGCCATTCGTATTGACTTCTATTGTGGTGTATGTTTTAATTGTCTATAACGGATCATGGTACATCCTGTTATAGTGGTAGGTAAATATATATTAATACTTACTGGCCTTTCCTTTATTCAGTTTCAGGTATCAAAATAGTACATTCTTAGATAGAATTGAAAACAGTTTCCACAATACGGCATGAGTTATGCAGTGGTTGTAAAAGTAAAACTCAGACATGTGAAACAAGTATAAGCAGATCGACAGCTTCAATAGTATGGTATATAAGCTACAGAAGAAACAACAAAGAGATCAAACCTTATATATCCTTTACATTCAACCCTCAAAACACCGATCATAATAAACAGGCTAACTGTAAAGCCTTTAAACAAACAAACCTGAGAGTCAAGCTGTCAATTTTCAAATTATATCTCGCAACATTTTTTGTACACAGTAATAAAATCTGAATAAACTAATTAACATTCATTTCATTTTATTGGCAAATCGGCAAATAAACATTACCTTTGGCCATTAACAGAGTATGACAAATATGGCCCAAAAGTTAAATAGTTACAAACATTATATCATACAATATATAACAAGAATAGTACAAGAATGAAACTAATTAAGAAAGCAGTTTACAACTTCAAAGAGACTGTTGCCTCAACTTAAATGCATTATGAACATAGTGAGCACATTTAAGAATAAGCTTTTTTGTTATTAGTGGACAATATAGTCGAAAAATTTTTTTGTATAGTAGGCCATGAAATGTTTCCTAAATATTTGGTTCTTATAACAGTATAAATTGGACAACATATAAAAGGAAGTTGTATTCTGATTCAAATAGAGTTATATATACATAGTTTACATTTGCGATCGTTTCTATCAATGTTAAAAAATCTTCCAGTTTCTATTTCTAAGTTATGTTGAGCCTAGTCTGAAACAAAAGCAAAATCTTTTCTTAACACATTATTTGTTAAAAACATCAAGATATTTTTCATAACAAAAAAGAAGTTTTAAAAATTTTCTGTAATAATCAAGCTTGGGCATATTTTGTATAGAAGTATTCCAGTTCTGTAAATATTGGTCTCGCAGACGCTGCTTTAACATTGGCATATAATTAAAAAATTTAAGTTAAAGTTAAGCCAAATATTCACTACAACCTAAGCTGTCTAACAAGCGTTTTATTACTGCTTGCCCAATTACAATCAACAGTTCGATTACACTGTTCTACAAACATGTTGTACATTTGGTGAGTCCTGATTTTTCATAATTTTTAACCAGAATTTTAAGAGTTCTTTTCTTTAGAAATAACAGAAAGAGGAAATCTTCCCTAACTCACCAAACACCAGCAACATTTTCGGTGTTTGCTGACGTACACCAAGTATATATACTTGCAAAATTAAACATGAATTTTGTCTATTTCTTTACAATCATAAATACCCCAAACCTCTGCATTATATAACAAAAATTGGTAGCACCATAGAATCAAAAAGTTGACATTTTAGTTTTTATATCTAAAATTTACTCTACTGAATAACCCTAACAAACCAATTGTATGCTTTTCAAAGCTTGTTCAGACAGCGTAATAGCAGCAGTTTTCATATTACCAGTGTATGTAAAAATTTACACCTAAATAGCAAAAATGGTCAACAACTTCAAGCATTTCACCATTTATAAACCATTGAAAATGATGTCTTTGTTTACGTTTTTTCAAATATACATATTTTTGATTTATTGACATTTATTTTCAAACCCCATTTCATGGAATAACTATAGACTGCATCTAACTGGGCTTGTAAGCTGTGCGGGTCAGTGGTAAAAGAGCGCTATGTCATCAGAAAAAATAGCAAACATATACATAGATAACTGGTTAAGATCATTGTCAGTAAGAGAGTTATAATCAATGTTGTCACATATATCATTTACAAAAAAGGATAATTAAAATCGGCGAGAGTGGTTCCCCTTGTTTTAATCCAAGGGTAACGTCGAAAAAATCAGAGAGAGGCATCGAAGATGACAATTTTACACAAGAGGTAACAGATGCATATATCGACTGTAACATAGTTAACATTTTACAACTTATACCAAGTTTCAAAAGCTTTAACCATAACGCATCTCTTACAATAGTATCGAAAGCTTTCTCGTAGTCGATGCATGCGCAATATAGTTTCAATTTACAATTGACTATATTTTGAATAATAGAATGGAGTAAAAATACACAATCTGTTGTAGACCTATTGTCTCTAAAACCGAATTGAGAATCATTAAACATTTTTTTGCTCTTCACACCATATGTTTAATCTATTTCGAAGAATAAGTGAAAAATAATTTTAGCAAGTACATTGACAAGGGTGATTCCCTCGATAATTGGAAGGATTAGAGATATCCCCTTTTTTTATGTATCGGAACAATAATACCTTTAGACCAGGCACTTGGATAAATTCCAGTATCAAATATTTTGTTAAAAAATACAACAAGGTATGGAGCTATAAACGTGTTTGCATCAATAAAAAAATCTGCAACAATTTTACTATAATCAGCACTCTTGTGTCTCTGCATAGAACGTATTGTTTTAGAGACTTCCTCTACAGTAAATGCGCAATCTAATTTATCAATAAACAGCTGTTCGGGTCTACTTTTATGCTCATCTTCCTGAGAATAATAAGGCTGCTGATTGGTGGAGATATTCTTAAAATGGTCTACAAAATCAGAAATATTAACATCAGATACATTTGTTGAACCCTTATTTCTAAATGTATTTATATACTTCCAAAATTTCCTTGGACTATGTTTACTCATGGAAGACAATTTAACTTTTTCCTTGTTATTAAAGTTACGTTTTGCTTTCTTTTTTACATTACAAAATACACGCCTACTATTCAAAAAGTTAGCCTTAATTGCTTCAGAAGGATAATTATGGAAAATTCTTTTATTATTCAAGAAAGATGCTTTTGCCTGTTTACAACTATTGTCGAACCATGGCACTTTTTTAATTGCTTTTTTATACTTTTTAGTGTGAAAAGTTTTACCATTCATTTTAAAAGATATATCATATACAATATCTGTAAAGTTATTTATACACATATCAATATCAATTTCATCCGAAGCTAATTTAACCGACAATTCATCAAAAATAATAATTTTTTATCGTTCAAACAAAGATTGAAATAAATCTGGATCAGTATCAGTCCCACACAATTTTATCATAAGTTAATAAAATCAGTGTGATAAAAATATCATATGCTCACAATCTAATGAAAAAACAAGTGGGCAAGATCAGAAAATTCTGTCAATTCCAATATATTCATATTTTGAAAAACTTGCAAAATTTCTATAGTCAGTTATCAAATAATCGACAACACTAGCCCCCTTTCACATTCCGACTGGCATTGTAGCAAGTAAAATCTCCTCGTTCAAGGCGACCGTTACAAATTAAAAGGTCATTTTCTTTGCATAAGGCTAACAGTTTATTTCCGAAGGCGTTCACAGTGTTATTGCTCGTATAGATCCATCGTCATTCGGCATATCAATGTAACGGTCGAGGTTAATGTTCTCAACATAATCCAATCTTTGACCTGTCCTGGCATTCAGGTCACCTGTCAAATATGTGTCACCCAGATATTTATACTTGATGATATCAGCGTTTAATTGCTCGAAAAAATAAATTGATATAATTCAGAGGAAGCACTTTTGTACACATTAGATTCATTTGGCGGAATGTAACAAATACATAAATACTGGCCATTTTCGGTCCCAAAATATTCTTTCTTTAATTTAATCCATACTATGCCTTTGATATTCAAACAAACAAGCTCAATTTTGTTTATATACTTATCTTTGTAATAGATAATAATACCGCCACTAGAGCGTTTAGCCTTTTTATTAGATTTAGGTCTAGGACATGAAAAGTGATTATATCCATCTATTTGAATATTAGTTATTCTAGAATGCCAGGTTTCAGTAAACAAGAGCACGTCATATTCATTAACTAAATTCAGGAAGTCACTATCAGATAACTTATTTATAATACCTTGAACGTTCCAGGATAACATTTTAATATTTTGCTGCTTCTCGGCATTATCCTAGTTTGATGGTGGAATGAAGCGCTGGCCATTTATAAAAAGTTTATCGTAAGCTAGGACAGCGTTCTTATTCTGCTCCTTTGCACTTACAAGATGCGGAATGAGTTTCCTTCTGCGTTCTTATTAAAATGAACGTCATCGCAATGTGTGAATTGTTTTCATTGTTTCCTTGGCAATTTAAAGCTATATTTAAGATAAAATTTAAAAAGTTCACAAAAAAATGTCATTGAATCAATGCTTAACTGTTAAAATGATACTTAACATAGCAGCATATGTTTCGGAACATTTTATTTTTATAGAATAAACAATAGAGATATTCTATATTTCAATTCATTCGAGAGTCGACTTTAACATTATGAAGAAAAAGAAAAGAAGAATTTAATTCACTGTCAAAATGTTTCATTAGACTGACACACAAAATAAAAGTTGTAGAAAATCAGATTTTTCCAACCTTCATTACTATGGAATGAATATATTACAATATAAGAAGAAAGTTTAGATAGGGTTATACTAATTATATTAGGTAATCTATTCAAAACTTGTTTATTGTTTTGTTTGTAGCGAATATTGCGCGTAACAGTGATAAAATATGTTTATCCTGCAATGACATTATAGATCTGAAATTATGCGACTCTGTTGACCGCTGTCATGGCAACCAGGTAAACAATTTTATTTCAAATCATATTTAGAATAATAATATTAGAAATATATGAAAAATGGATTGTTATGTTTATGGAACAATCCTGATATTTTTACGAATCCAAACTTGCCGCTATGGCACACGTAGAATTGAACGAAATCAAAGAATTGTTTGATTTGCAACAGTGCTGACCTCAAAGATAAATATCATTTTATTTTTTCAGCATACAATCATATCCTAAACCTTATATTACAAAATCTATAATTAGAGACCAAGTGTTTGAAAATTTATAGACATGTAATTGAAAACTAGTCTGAAGTATAAACTATGCAAATGTATACAAAAAGCATGTATAAGTAGAAAAAACATTGTGAACAACAATACTTTTTCAATTTAAAGCTGCTGTTTCGCGTAACCATGTATATGTTTATATATTTCATAAACTAATTTACGCGTTACATTTAGTTTTCTTATTTAAATATGTGATTATGTCGTGTAAATTTATTGTGAAATTTACAATTTGTGAACTTGTAAATAGTTCATCCCCTAGTATATGTTTATTGTCTTAATTTATTTTCAGTAAGTTTAATCATCCATATCCGTTTTATATTTGTCATATGTTACATGCGTTTATGTTAATTGTGTCATGTATAAAAAAAAACATAACTTAAATCTTTAAAATTGTAGAATCGATAAAATTCAGAAATGCGCTGCATTTAAATATTTACTATATACAATTGGTTGTTTGTTTGTTTTTTATTTATTTATTTTTCTTTAGTCATTAGCACAAAAATATGTCAAAAGGTATAGTCTTTGAACTTCAGATATGTTTTGTAGAGAAATATACCTTGGATAATGGTCATACACATTACAGTTCTGGATGTAAAGATAAACAGGTATACGTATATGATTTATTTACACATTTTTAAGAAAATCATTATTATACAATTATTATAATTGTCAATGTTGCTATCTAATCAAAAGGATATATAACAACCTTAAAAGTAAAAACAAAAAAGATAAATGAGAAGAGAAAAGAAAAACAAAAACCTACATGACAGGCTCATCTCAAATACAAAAGCTTTTTATATTTTAGACATGTATGCAACATTCCTTTAATGGGACATCTAGTTGTCTGCAATGCTGTGAGAAAAGTTTTTGTAATTCACAAGGTTGTGGTGGCACAGGTAAACTGTTTCTAAATATTGTAAAGAACGAGTATATTTTTGAAGCACAAATGCTAACAGTCACCAGAATGCTAAGTTTATCTTAAATAGCATTATTAATGAATTAGAGTTAATGAGCCGGATCTGAAGAAATTATATTGCACGTGCGATCTTTGAAGCATTTAAATCGAATAAGCTAAAGAACAAGCATGGTGGTCGATAATTAAGAAATAAATGATATTGTCGAAATACATGCAATTGATTTTGATTTTTCGTATGTTCTTTGGTATTTTGTTTTTTAGTATTAATTGTCAGACGTATGTTTGACATTCAGGCTAATTAGAGAAATTAAAGTCCTGTATTTTGAGTGTTAAATATACAGCTTAAAGATTTTCCAAACGCAAGATAGATAAAATTTTCGTTTTATTATTACTTTGACATTATTATAACTATGCATACATCTAAATATATTCAATTATTTGTATGCCAATATATTAATGCGATACATTTAACAAAATATATAACAAGAGGGCCATGATGGCCCTGAGTCTCTCACCAGAAACAACAGCTTTTCAGTGTTGGACTGTCAATATATTCAAATATTAAATTTGAGCATAGAATATATTTAAACAATAATTTAAAGAAATGCGATGACCTTGGGTATTTAAGCTTTAGCTTAAACGGGGCTAATCAAATTAATATAAGCAAACTTGATAAAAAAGTATCCAAGAATGCTACCGACAAAGTTTGGTGATCATCCATCAATTGTTTCTGAAGAAGAAGATGTTTAAAGGTTTTTATTATTTTTAGCTTTAGCGGCCCCTAAAAAGGGGCCAATCAAATTAATATGAGCAAACTTGATAAAAGATTACCCAAAAATGCTACAGACAAAAATTGGTGATCATCAATTAATTAGTTCTGTAGGTGAAGATGTTTTAAGGGGCTAATCAAATTAATATGAGCAAACTTAGTACAAGACTACCCAATAATGTTACAGACAAAAATGGTGATCATCGATCAATTAGTTCGGTAGCAATAGAAGTTTAAATGTATATCTATTTTTAATTTAAGCGGGCCCCTAAAAGGGGCCAATCAAAATAATATTAGCAAGCTTGATAAAAGACTACCCAGCAATGCTTCAGAAAAAGTTTTGTGATCATCCATCAATTAGTTATCTAGAAATAAACACTTAAATGTATTTCTATTTTTAGCTTAAGCGGCCCCTAAAATGGGCAATCAAATTAATATGAGTAAACTTGACACTACCCAAGAATGCTACAGACAAAGTTTGGTGATCATCCATCAATTAGTTCTCTAGAAATAGACATTTAACGGTATTTCTATTTTTAAATGTATAGACCCCTAAAATGGGCTTATCAAATTAATATAAGCAAACTTGATAAAAGACTACCCAAGAATGCTACAGACACAGTTTGGTGATCTTCCATCAATTACTTCTGTAGAAATAGACATTTAAATGTTTTTCTATTTTTAGCTTTTCCGGCCCCTAAAAGTTTGGTGATCATCCATAAATTAGTTCCTTAGAAATAGACATTTAACGGTTTTTCTATCTTTAGCTTAAGCAGCGCCTAAAAGGGGCCAATCAAATTAATATGAGCATACTTGATAAAACACTACCCAAGAATGCTACAGACAAAGTTTGGTGATCATCCATCAATTAGTTCTATAGAAACAGACATTTAAAGGTATTTCTATTTTTAGCTATAGCGGCCCCTAAAAGAGACCAATCAAATTAATATGAGCAAACTTGATAAAAGACTACCCAAGAATGCTACAGACAAAGTTTGGTGATTATCCATCAATTAGTTCTGTAGGAGATGTTAAGGTTTTTCTATTTTTAGTCCTAGAGACTCCTCCAAGGGGCCAATCAAAATAATATTAGCAAACTTGATAAAAGACTACCTAAGAATGCAACAGACAAAGTTTGGTGATTATCCATCAATTAGTTCTGTAGAAGAAAATGTTTAAAGGTTTTTCTATTTTTAGCTCTATAGACCCCTATAAGGGGCCAATCAAATTAATATGAGCAAACATGATAAAAGACTACTCAAGAATGCTACAGACAAAGTGTGGTGATCATCCATTCATTAGTTCTGTAGAAGAAGATGTTTAAAGGTTTTTCTATTTTTAGCTCTGCTGACCCATAAAAGGGGCCAATTGGAATGACATGAGCAAATTCAAGTGTGGCTGTCACAAGGATGCTACAGACCAAATTTGAAGTAAATCTGCTTAGTAGTTTCAGAGAAGAAGACGATTGTTGACGCATAACGACGGACGACAGACGCCTGAGCATCCCCCTTTGATACTTATAGCTCACCCTGAGCCTTCGGCTCTGGTGAGCTAAAAGTTGTTTGTTTTTATCTGGGGATCTAATTACTATAATGAATTAATAAACAAATATATTCTTTAAACTTTCTTTATTCTATTTTGTTCTAAGTTTGAAATGTAGTTTGTACAATGTAAAACACTTTTTACTTAACAAATAAATTGATTTTAAAGCGTTCCCACCTCGACAGAAAAGAGGTCCACTTTGTTTAGATTGTGCGCATATTAGCGAACCAATAGACTGCGACCAAATAGCATTGTGTTCTTCGGGCGAGGTTTTTAGCTTGTATTTAAATCAGCAAATAAAATATTTTATACAAAGTCATGATAACGTAAACAGTGAAATATATTACCAGGTGTCTTATAATCTCTGCTGTTGAGGTTATTTTGTTACAAGCTATAATGATTTAATCATTTGTCCTTACATTCTCATTAGATTTCAAGTTTAATTTCATTTCCGTCTGCAGGCATGTTCCTTATAGAACTTTAACTATATGTAATTCACACTTATATTTTTTAATTTTATATATCGTAACGGTTTTTTATCCAAGATAGTATGCCTACTTTGAATAAAATGTGAATGAAATAAAAACTGTATGGTTAATTTTTCTCATCCTTAGTCCTGTAAGGTTGAAAAGGTGAAATGGGGAGATTCATTCCAGTATCACTTAGGATGTGAAAGCAAGATAGTAAGTTAGCTTTAATATTTCAAGCGCAATAAGGAAAACAATCTTGTTAGACGACCCGTGCACGCGGTTAAACTTGGCGGCTAGTATATATGCATTCGCCCGTTCAGCAACGGGGAACAGTTTATTCTTGCTTTTTTAATTTTGTTTTTGTTTTAACAAAATTACACTGTGTTCAGATTCTCCAATAAAAATAGCTGTTCTGATGTTCAACATCTCACCAAGCATAAAGGGACTGTAAAAAAACTTAAATGATAATGTTTATCATTGTCTTTTGATTTTCCTCTTTTTTATATACCTAATTAATAACGTTTCAATGAGCTAGTCTATATTCTTTTGGCGGGAATCAAATGTTGGACAGGGAACCAGATATTAGGGTATAATTTATCGCATTCCTTTTATCAACCGTTATGCATTTGTTCAATCGATTGTTGACACCGTATTATTATTTAAGAATAATTGTAGATAGAACATCTTCAAAGCATAACAAACACGAATAACTGTAAGATTACATTTTAAAAGTAAGAAAGGATTGATTTAAAGAATTTAAATTCAGTGTACAAACGTCTAATTGAGTCTAAGTCGAGGGCATTTCTTGACACTATAGGCTAGGCGGATTTTTGTAATTTTTAATGCGATTTATACAATTTATTTTGCATTGGGCAATCCCTTCAATATTTGTCGAAACAGACAAACATTTATTTATTCAGAGTTTCAGACATGACATTACTTTGTGAATTTATGCATTATGCTCAACTTTTCACAAAAATATGCAACTTATTAAACAACGAGCACATACAAAGAAAACGTGATATTCAACTGTAATAGAGAACAATTGTTAAAGCTGATTTGTGATTACCTGTGACAATCTCCTACGCAGTGATCGCCCCTTACAGGATTAGATCTCTGCCATCACAACATTTTCGTCAAGATTTTTGACGATATGAATTTTTTCAATTTTTGTATTTATTTTAAAAAGTAAACACGGTTTTGCTAATGTTTCAAGACCGATAGGTGTTAGATGTGAACTAAAATATAATATAATTTGAAACAAAATAAATATTATGAAAATATTTTTTTTAAATTTAATAACGCACCGTCTATATCCAAAACAATGACCCCTCTCGAAAGAGAAATCATTCAAGTAATTATTAATTTCGACTCTACGCTTTAAAATCCTTTTTTTCACTCATATCGACATATTTGAGACCAGAGTTCAAGTTTTAATGTCGCTGTTTATTACAGATATATACGCCATTTTTACACAATCATGTGATAAGGCCATCATCACGTGATTTGTGTGAAGGAAGTGGTAACTGGCCGTAACGTTACCGGTGCGCGGAGTTTGTACCTGTGACTGTATCACATCTTTTGTCGTCGTATTGGATGTGCAACATAAATACCTAACTTGTGGTTTTCTTATAAATTTAAGCGACGTGTAACCAGATGAAATATTTTACAATGTTCAGTATAATACAATTTCCTTATACCAATGTGTTCGAGAAATGTCTGATCGGTCACAAACATTCTTTTAGGGCCTCAGTATTATTTCTTAATAACTATTATAGATTTGTTGTTTTGAATCATTTTGCATTAATGACCAGAAATCTGTTTTATTACGCAAATTGACATAAATTATTTATTCATGATATAAATGTTATCTGGTAAAATTTTATATTTAAGCACTGTTCATCTAAAAGTAGAGAACTAGCCCATGAGACAAGAGCTGTACCAGTTTGTCGAGCTTGTTGCGACGGTGACTTTTGCAACCGAAATTGCACAAACAATCTACCAGTCAACCAACAAACAATAATTGGATAGGCAACGAAACAAAGTTTATATGCAAATTACAAAAAAAAATGAGTATGGCTAAAACAAACAGTAACATTGACATTAATATAGTAGAAAGAAATGTGTGATAATATTTTATTAAACAGCTATAATTTCAAGCCAGGGTTGTTTGCTTATTTTGTGAGAGGGTGAATGATTTTCTCAATCAATCATTGATGATTATTTCTTAACATGTCTCATAACAAAACACAGATTTAGATTTTCTATAGTAATCTAGTTTTGATGTATTATTCAAAGAGGGTTCTAATTTTTGAATGAACGGGTCTCTTCAAGTTCTTTTCAACAAAAATTCATTGACTGCGGTATCAAGATGGTACAATAAATCTGAGAAAACAAGATAATTTCTGATTGAATGTACTCAATTTACCCAAACTTAAAACATATATAGATTGGTAACGGTAGTTTTCAACCAAAATCCATGTGCTCTTATTTTACAAAAAAGAAAACGATTGTGGGCATTGACCTAATTCTCCTTGAAGTGCATATTTCGATGTTTTTGAAAATTTCAGAACGATATTGCAATTAACTTATTTTATCGAATAAAATGTTATGAAAAGCTCAAAAGGCTTGTTTAGATAAGGTTTTAACAACATTCACCAAGTTAAAGTATATGTAAATCCAACTCTGAGATAGTTAAAGCTATCAACAATGCATATCTTTTCTAATATTTACAAATCTTAATTTTATTAACTTTGAACTAACACTCATTCGGGATCAAGTGTATGATTACGTTTAGAATAAAGACTGCTGACTGATGTCAAAAATACTTTAACGCTGAAAAATACAGTTATGTATTCAATTTAAAATACAATGATTGAACTTTAATGAGAAGCAACCGAGTTTTATATCATTTATAATAAGACGCATAATTTACTGCGGAATGACACGATTTTTTGGAGTCGTCAATAATAAAACACAAGAACATAAAAACGTTCACTGTGCAACTCTGTTTAGTTAGCCGAGATTTTATATAACCAGGCTAAACTTAAATCATGCGTAAACACGTTGCCTCTACCTAAAGGGGAACTATTTCGACAAAACGCATCGTTGTCAGAGTTGTTGCATTGCACAGTCGTAAAGCATCTGGATTTTTCAATATATCTATTTAATGTTGACTTTTATAAATAAGGAAACACGTTCTGTTTTATTTTTGTCGGATTTGGTAACGAGTCCGATGTCTTGAATGTCTTATATACTACCTTTATGCTCAAATTCGATGTTATATCGTTGGTCATTTGCTTATTTTAAGTTAATATATCGTTTAATCGGGATATAATTAATTAATTTTCAACGTTTTATGATAAATCCTTACAGCAACATTGTTTATATATTAAAAAGACACATGGTGCCGGATTCCTGGCACATTACGACATTGACTGAAGTCCTGTCACAGTATAAACGAGTATTACAAAATGGACGTAATGCAATTCCCGTGCCTTTGATTTCAACAACTGCGCAGATCTAAACAGATATTCTTCTAGGTAGCATTTTATTCGACTGTTCGAAAGTTATGCAGTGCAGAGCTGACCAGTTTACTCGTACGTAAAACCTCGCTAGTGGTAAATATGTTACAAAAAAGTTAAACGATTGACAAAGGTTTGATAAAAACAACTGACACATATGTAAAATGCCATTCTGCTACTGTGATAATTTCTAAAGCAAGGGGGAGATTATTCTTGGTCATGAAAATTGTAATTTTTGTGTTTAAATCTTGACAAGTCTACTTACAAAATATAAAGAGAATCACTGGCATTTTTCGCATGATTGCAAATATGACAACAGGAACAAAGGATCGTTCTAATCTGATAAAATGATTTATCTTAAAGTTTATACTTAACGTATTTGAACTTTTCTATATAGAAAAAAAAGACATTGTCACTGGTCATCAAACGGAAATCTTTAGTTTTTTTACAGTAACTTTTTTTACTGATAAGTGTCGACGAAGCCCAGTCGGCAGTTACATATATATATTTCTTTATTGGTTCATGTATATAAGACAAAGGATGCAGCACCTGTAAATATCCAAGATATTTATTTATATCAAATATTCATAAAATATAATAGTAAACGTAGAACATATGCTATGCCAAAATGTAAAGTACAATTAACAGAAAATTACATTAATTGCTATGAATTGCTTGTTCATGTTATAAAGTACTAACAGCTTATGAAGGTTCAGTTACATAAAGGTGAGTAAACAAACATATGTGAATTGTCTCTTTTTATCTGACTATAATTTATTAACGTATTTATTTATACAAATTTCACATTCTCTTATATATATGAACTCTAAATAATGTAAGATAACTAACTGTTAATATTCAAGATATTTATTTTTAACAAATATTTACAAAATCTAAAAATGAACGTACATGTAGTATGCTATGACAAAATGTAAAGTGCAATGAAGCATCGCCCAAAACACTCGGACACAGGATATCTACGGGAGACAGGTTACTAACGGTAAGTAAGATGATAGAGTAGAGTGATTATAGAAGAACTAAAGGACATAACGGGGTCTTTTGTCGGGACAAGGGACAAGTAACAAGCAATAATTTTATTGAGTTGATTATAGAACTTTATATACTTTATTAGAATATGACGCGATTGAACACAACAAAATACGGTTAGAGATTTCTCGTCCTATGACATAAGCATATTTTATCGCCCGTGTCTTTTCGTAACTTGAGTACTTTGACATGGATATTAGGCCACGACAACTAACGATTATGAAGTAAGGTGACACTCTATACTAAATAAAATTAGCTCGTCAGGTTCACGGGTACAATTTAACGAAGCTATGAACTTTTGGGATGTCATACTTTTCCGCCCGCCGTGATGGGAATGCCGAGGTTTTTCCCGATCATTTATCGTTTATACAATGGTTGTTTTTATTGTTTCTGCTAGCATCAATATACTTGGCTAACACATTTGCATTTTGCGTAATTCACATTATATGTATAAAAGTCTTAACATTTATAGCAGAAATTATTAAAATCCTGAAATGGATATCAAGAGCGGAATAGAATATAAATACTAAATTATTCATTTGTGTATTTTCGCTTCATTATCAAACAAAACAGTCCAGAAAAAATGAATACAAAATCAATGGTATATTGCGGAAAATGAATCATTTTCTGTCAACTTTCCTACACTTTTACAGCAGTATTTTATAAAAGCGAGAACTATACTTTACAATTTATTTATAAATTAAAACTATCCTTAATATGTTTAGAATAGCCAATGAAATTCCAAGAATTCAATTTATAATTTAAAATGACAAGTGAAATATCTTTTGGTATACATTGCTTGCAATGTATATAGAGTTATAAGCTATATCTCAGAAATCGTTACAGGTTTATGTTTTACCGAACAACAGAAACTAGTTCTTCATTCTGCAGTATTCCGACTACACATCATTAAAATAGTGTTTGCAAAGTTGTTTAAATGCTTTGAAAGTTCCAAATCGTTCATTTTCATGAAGTAATAGACTCTATATTCCTTTAAAGAAAACAAAAAATAAAAGTTCATTGATAAAATCGTAGTTTATACCTACGCGTTAAACTTGGCATATACGAATGCGCTTGCTAGCATGAATGAATACATCGTAAATATAGTAAAGTCGTCAGAGTAAAATCGATACCGCTTATGCTAAGACAATACAAAATAAGCTTTTTTTAAACCGCTAGTTTGTTGTGATTAAATGTCCGATTTTAAAATGTATTACACCAATAGAAAGCTTTGGATCTTAGCTTCATCACAGTATAAACTTCAATACATCTTTTGACTCGAAAGTATTTAAATTAACTGTTAAACCTACCATATGTCAGACCATTTTACATGCGATTTATACAGTGAGATACGCAATGATAAGAATAGCCTGTCGTCTGCTAGTTCTGAAAGTGTATATCGGTGTATTATATAAATGGGACGAAACATCTCAGATAGATATTAAATCAAATAAAATTCCTGATTTACATTTATGCAATAAAATTGCCCTAAAATGTTTTACAAAATGAGTATGGAGCTCCGTCACAAAATTTACCAGCGTATACCGGAAAATGTTTTTTTTTTTTTTTTTTTTTTTTTTTTTTTTTTAAACTGGCAATTATCGTGACTTCGAAAAATAGAAATTTCGTAAGCTATTCTTTTGAATACCTTTTTTACACATGATTTTCCTTTCACTTTTGTATGCCTTAGATTTTTGAAAAGAAATATGTTTCGAAATTCAGCGAAGATTGCCTGATTCAGTACGGGTAAAAATAAAGATTCGGCCGCTCGACCGTTCGACCCATTACAATTCGTCGAACTTGAGATATTGACGATTAAGCCAGAGTATGGAGCTAAATATAGGCACATGTGGCAAGATTCGACAATAAGAAATAATCATTTGAAACTGTAAATCAGTGTAAGCATTAAGAAATAAATACATTATGTTATTTTAATCTGCTTATATTATTTGCCGAAAACACCAGAAAATACCGAAATACACTTAAAATACAAAGAAATATTAATTCAGCAGTTTAAACAATTTTTGATGGTTATTTGATGAAATGGGTTCAATAATATCAGTTTTAAATCGATGATATATACAATTGGTATAATTCCAACAAAATAAGTTTTATCTACTTTTTTCTATCCTTTAAATGATTAAAATTTACTTTCTTTTTGCAACCAGTGTAAATTAGAGAATGGTTCTATTCTGTATTAAATGCGATATGAAAGTGTTTTTTGGCAAAGTAACAGTCTAGCGTCAAAAAAAACATGGAAAAGCCGGAAAACACACTTTTACGGGCATTAAAATAGTCGTAGTTAAAACAAGAGCCGCTATTTTTTTCAACATTTTAAATGAATAACTATTACTTTCTTTTATTACCAATGTAAAATGTCAGTGATGTTATTTTTATAAATACAGCATGAAAGTGTTTTTCGGCTACGTAACGGTCTAGCGTCAAAAACATGGAAAAGCCCCACCCAAAAAAAAAAAACAAACAAAAACAACAACACATTTTACTTGCGATGAAATGGACATTTCAAAAATAAGAACTATTAAATAAAATTTTCAACCGTCTAAATGAATGATTATAACATTATATGTGTAAGCAATGTAAAATATCAGTAATATTTTTGTAATAAACATTGTATGAAATTGTTTATCGGCTATGATACTGCCTAGCGTCAAAAACATAGAAAAAATAAATAAACAAACAACACATTTTACTTGCAATAAAATACTAGATATATTTTAAAAAAATGCTGCTAAATACATTTTT